CATGCGCAACTTTCGCAAAAAATATTTCCGGTTTTGCGCAAATTGCGCAAAATAAATAGCGCAAAACCGCGCAAAACTCATTGCGTTTCATGCGCAAAAATAGCGCAAAAGTTCGCAATAATCAAATTTGCGCGAAAATAGCGCAAATTTTGCGCAAAAGATTTAGCAATTTCGTGGAAACCCTATATACAATACTATTCTTGGTTCAGGGCAACTGTAATCATGGTTCGGTAATATTGTTCAAAAGGAGATAAAATAAAAAATAAATGTATATGATTCAAAAAGGGGCAAATTTTAATTCAATACTGTTAATTGAAATACACATGTTTGCTTGAACTTTACGATTAGTAAATATTAATAATGTAATCATATTATTATGCTCTATAGCTGTAGAATATTTTTTCCGATGACTGTTATTATTCCACAGAACTTGTTAGTGCCACTTTTTGAATATTTTCTGTTTTGGTAAATTTGTCAGAATCCAGGAATTCTGTAAAGGTTTGATATAGTATAAAGTTGAATAAAGTTGAATTTGTTCGAAGTTTAACAAAAAAAAACTTTTTTTAATAATCTTTCATCAATTTTTAAGCTTAGTCAGAAATTCCTTTTTTTTGCAAGAACATTGTGATTTCTTGTCTCTAATATGTTTCGTCGATTATCATTGCAAAAAGTCTAAGAATGCAAACTGTTTATTGAATAAAATATATTTAAATTACATTTTTTTATCAGTGGCTAGCTGATTAGCAATCAGTGGATTATCAGTCAGCTGATAAGCAATCAGTGGATTATCCGTCAGCTGATTATCAGTCAGCTGAATGTTAGTCAGGTGATTATCAGTCAGCTAATTATCAGTTAGCTGATTATCAGTCAGCTGATTTATAGCCAGCTGATAGTCAGACAGCAGTTCAGCACCAATTCACCATCCTAGGACATTGACCCCATCTTTGGTTATAGTCCCCAGCCTTCTAAAATATACAAATTAAAGGGAGTCTTCCCGAAAATTCAAACTAACAATCGACTGCAAGACACAGGAGGCTAAATGAACAGATTACTTCTCAGAATTATAATTTTTCAATTCCCGTATCTTTAACTATTTAATCTATTAGAGTCATAAAGTGAAATATAGAAAGTCTAAAAGATCAGATTGCAAAGATATAGGGTTTATAAATTTAGAGTTAGTGGTGAGTGTTTAGTTCAATTATTGCTATGTATTTGTAAAGTGGTTTGGTCTGTTTCAGAATCTATCGGGGATTTATATACATTGATCATACAGTGTTTTTTTTGACAATTAGGAGACGAATTAAAAATTGTTTTTGATGTTTAAAAAAATTTCAACATTTATTCGTCAACTTAAGTTTAAAAGTATGATTTAAAGAAAAAGATTTTTAAAAAAGCCCTAGCCATAACATTTACCAAATTTGGACTGCTTTAAACATCCTTTAAAACATCCTGGCTGTATCAGAATATCATATTTTGCTCTCTCAGGCATAAATAGAGTAAACGTTTTAATATCATTAATATTCAAAATACTGTCCATCAAAAAAATTAAAGATAACAACTATGTATAGAAAATCTCCATTAAATGGATGAAAATGGGTTCTAAAGTCAAGGCTCGATGGAATTTTTAACCAGGACTTTTAGTTTACCGTGATAAAGAATATGAAAATAGATACTTCTAGTTTACCGTGATAAAGAATATGAAAAAGGTACTACTAGTTTACCGTGATAAAGAAAATAAAATTAGGCACTTCTAGCTTATCGTGATAAAAAATATGAAAATATGTTCTTCTAGTTTACCGTGATAAGGAATATATAAATAGGTACTTCTAGTTTACCGTGATAAAGAATATATACATAGGTACTTCTAGTTCACCGTGATAAAGAATATTAAGATAGGTACCTCTAGTTTATCGTGGTAAAGAATATAAAAAGGTACATCTAGTTTACCGTGAAAAAGAATATTGAAATATGCACTTCTAGTTCACCAAGATAAAGAATATTAAAATAGATACTTCTAGTCTACCGTGATAAAGAATATAAAAATAGGTACTTCTAGTTTACCGTGATAAAGAATATTAAAACAGATCTAGTTTACCCTGATAAAAAATAAAAAAATAGGTACTTCTAGTTAACCGTGATAAAGAATATAAAAATAGGTAGATCTAGTTTACTGTGATAAAGAATATAAAATTAGGTACTTCTAATTTACCGTGATAAAGAATTTAATAATAGATACCTCTAGTTTACCGTGATAAAGAATATTAAAATAGGTACTTCTATTTTATCGTGATAAAGAATTAAAAATAGACATACCTATAGTTTATTGTGATAAAGAATATAAAAATAGGTACCTCTAGTTTATCGTGATAATAAATATAGAAATAGATACTTCTAGTTTACCGTGATAAATAATATAAAAATAGGTAGATCTAGTTTATCGTGATAAAGAATATAAAAATAGGTAGATCTAGATTATCGTGATAAAGAATATAAAAATAGGTAGATCTAGTTTACCGTGATAAAGAATTTAAAAATAGGTACCTCTAGTTTACCGTGATAAAGAATATAAAAATAGGTACCTCTAGTTTATCGTGATAAAGAATATAAAAATAGGTAGATCTAGTTTACCATGATAAAGAATATGAAAATAGGTACCTCTAGTTTACCGTGATAAAGAATATAAAAATAGATACTTCTAGTTTACCGTGATATAGAATATAAAAATAGGTACTTCTTGTTTACCGTGATAAAGAATATAAAAATAGGTACCTCTAGTTTATCGTGATAAAGAATATAAAAATAGGTAGATCTAGTTTATCGTGATAAAGAATATAAAAATAGGTAGATCTAGTTTACCATGATAAAGAATATGAAAATAGGTAGCTCTAGTTTACCGTGATAAAGAATATTAAAATAGGTACTTCTATTTTATCGTGATAAAGAATTTAAAATAGACATACCTATAGTTTACTGTGATAAAGAATATAAAAATAGGTACCTCTAGTTTATCGTGATAATAAATATAGAAATATGTACTTCTAGTTTACCGTGATAAATAATATAAAAATAGGTAGATCTAGTTTATCGTGATAAAGAATATAAAAATAGGTAGATCTAGTTTATCGTGATAAAGAATATAAAAATAGGTAGATCTAGTTTACCGTGATAAAGAATTTAAAAATAGGTACCTCTAGTTTACCGTGATAAAGAATATAAAAATAGGTACCTCTAGTTTATCGTGATAAAGAATATAAAAATAGGTAGATCTAGTTTACCGTGATAAAGAATATAAAAATAGATACTTCTAGTTTACCGTGATATAGAATATAAAAATTGGTACTTCTAGTTTACCGTGATAAAGAATATAAAAATAGGTACCTCTAGTAAATTCAAACGAACCTTAGTACAATTATGACAATGCCCGATATACAATGTTTCCTTTCAAAGCTTTGTCTGATCAATTATGAATTATGTTTTTTTAGTTTTTTTTTAACTCTGCAACTGCGAGTTGCTCTTTCTTCCATGTAAGAAACAATGGAGAAATTAAACAGTTTTCTTGTCAGAAAAGCGACGTTATCTTCTCGAATAGACCGGGGGTACCGTTGTAAATCTGGTATTGCAATTTATACCTCGAGGCTAACTTGAAATTAACGCTTAAAGTCCCCTTCAACTTCTAAATCTTACCCATGGTTTCAACTAAGTAGCGTTTAGTTAGAGCTGAACTTAAGAACATAAAAAATATTGTAAACACAATTAAATTCAATTTCATATTCGCTTACACCTAAGACAAAAAAAATATTTAAAATTAAGGATTTGAATTTTTCTACAAATTCTGACTTTTTAAACCTGCTCTCTCTTATATATTTCAAACAATGAATTCTGTCTGATCAAAAAGTATAAGTTTGTAATATCCAATAAGGATTTCAACATGAGTAACAAATAGTAAAGTTATTTATATGGATTAAAAAATTTAATTTGGCCATTTACTAATCTGTTTTTTCTTTATATCACATTATTCTGTACATAAAGTTGTATCAACAATTTGCTTAATAATGAGCAAAAGAGCAAAAATTGAGCTAATGGTAAATTAATAGGCATGCTGAATCCATGCAAAGAAATTAACAACTGACTTGGAAAACAAAACTTGTGAAAAGTCCTCATTTCATCAAGTCAGAGAAAAAATCCCAGTTTCTAAAAATATCTTAGTTTAAAAAGTTTACAAAGATATTTTCAAAAACTTTTTTGCCGGTTCAAGTGGATTTAACGGTTCTGTCAATATTTCAGAAAGCTGTGACTTCCGATCACAATTTGACCCCTTATACATAACTTTATAGCCTTTTTTCTTAAATAACTTTTTGTTCGTATATAGATTTTGAATGAAAAAGTATAGAATAAACAAATCTGTAAGTTTAAAGATTGTTGAAATATAGACGAAAACACGTTTGATTTCAAATAAAAGAAACAGAATACTTCTCTCTGTGGATAGTTCAGTGTGGGTTATTGGTTTTTGGCCACATTCCAACCCTTTTCAACATTCTTAAAGAGGCTGTAAGCGTTATTTCAAGTGACCCTTCATGCAAAGAAAGCAATGCATGATTTTCAATGTTCACGGGCAGCCGTAGTACACTTGAATTTCCAAGCCGGGTCAACCTTTCCGGTCCCATTTTGTACTGAACCTAGCTATGGTCAGGACTAGCCAGTGCAACAAGGCTGACGCGGTCAGAATTTATGCTTCATATAGGTTGAATTTACTTTTACTAAAGGGGCAGAGGTGCGTGAGTTACCCTTGAACCCTTAATCTGATCTAAAATGTAAAAGATAACAATATTTTTCTGATTTTCTGTTTATTTTAGTGTGTTTATTGCTTCTTATGAACAAGAAAATTGCGCATTTCCCTTTTGCAGAGAAACCAAGAATGGAAATATATAGTTTAAATAAACAAAAAAAAAACATGAATATCTAATTCATACTTGATCAGACAAAGCTTTTAAGGGTTTGCATTTGCATAATGGATCACTTGAAATTATGCTGACAGTCCTTATAAGAGTTTAAAGTTTAAGATTAAGAAAAATTAACTCGCCTCTCTTTGATGTACTTTCAAGGAATGAAACCTTGGAATAAGGCTTTTTAAAAAGAAAACTATTTGATTCAAAACATTTTAAGATTTTAAGAAACATCAAAGAGTTTAAACAATAAACAATTACAGTTTTGTAAGTTCAAGGAAAAATCCTTTATTTAATCAAAAAGTGAAGAAACTGTTTAAATTCTTAGGTTTCATAATATACTACAGTGTGTTGCAATAAACATGAGAACTATTAAGTGAAGAATAGTAACAATTAGCCTTATCTTATTCTAATGGTCATAATCTTTATACCATTAAAATTAATCTATTTTAAAGGTAAAAGGCTCTTTTGTTACACTCCAAAACGTTTAATAACATTGTTACATAGCTAGGACAAGAAAATACCCAAGCCCCTGTAGGTCTTCACTTTCGTGTCCCTTGCCACTCCTATGCACTGCAGATATATCAAAGAGAATAGAATATATATCACAGGGGAATTTAGAGAATCTTGCGGTATGAATTTTTTCAGTCCCTTTCAGCCTGAAAGTGAGTTCAAAGTGTACAAATCACGTAAATGTTCACAAATTATATGCAGTAGAGTACATTGATAGTTGATACAATGTTACGCAAGCACATGCTTCGTTATTAAAGTCTATAATGCACCCCTGTTTTAACCAATATTCATCCCTGTTTTCAAGATGAAGATGCTGGAAGATGAAACTGGTTTTTTTCTAGTGAATTATCCTAACTACGCATGCGCAAGAAACTTGCATGGTACCCGCTCAGTTTTTCTTTCAGTAGAGTTGTAAAAATTGTATTCATATATTTATAATGTTATTGTGCTAAGAATTCGAGGACTAACGTGGTAAATATCTTTTTAAATACTTAAACCCATTGTCCATTAAACCTATTGTATGATTATATATGTATGTTTTCTAGCATAATGATGCAGTTTTTAACGCCTGAAATGATATTTTTGTGTTGTTATAGTATGAAATTATATCACTGGTATAATCTTTTATTTTATTTTATTATTTATTATTTTATTTTAATATTTTATTTAAGATAGAAGGTCTGTGTCTCCATAAAGCTTGAAGCTATCCTGAGTTTTATTCATTATGAAGAGAGACGAGAGGAAAGTATCTTACGGTCAGGCCCGAGGAAATACAGCAAGGTAGTTGTCTATTTATCATTAGGTCTTTAGGAAAATCGCGTAGTCGCGTATTATACAGTATGTTCCCTAGACTATCCATTTCAATTTCGAATTTTTTAAAGCTGTTAAATAAACTTTATAATGAATTAGGTGAATAAAAAACATCATTTGATTTATAGTTATAACGGAAAATCATCGTTTGTAAAGTGGAAGGCATAGAGTCTATGTGAAATGATCATTGGTCAATTATGAAACCAGCCTATTTCATAATTTGGTTTTCTTTTAAC